TGGAACTTCTAACTAAAAGACAACAAGGTGTCCGTGATTATGTGATTAGTAAATTGAAAGAAATATCTGATGAAAATGCTCGTTCCGAAGTAAATAAAGTAAATGACTTTAGATTCGTATTCAGCAACCCAGAAAACCCCCAGATACCCTGTTACATAGAAATCTACCGATTTTTTTTTAATTTTCGTCCGCCATATTGGATCCGCCATTTTCAATTTTTGGTAAATGACTTTAGATATGTAATCAGCGACCCAGAAAACCCCCAGATACCCAGTTTCATAGAAATCTACCGAGTTTTTTTTAATTTCGTCCGCCATATTGGATTCACCATTTTGGATTTTTGATAAGTGACTTCAGATTCGTAATCAGCGACCCAAAAATCCCCTAGGTAAGAAGTGGAGTAAAGATCCATCAACGAGTATTTGTTTAAATAGTTTCGTCCAGCTAGATTTGCGATCCGAACCACTGTGCATCGTAACGACGTCGTTTCCGACTCGTTTTGGTGAACAATTTGTTCGCCGGTGACGGTCGCAAACGACTCGCCGGCGAACTCGCCGTCGGATGAAAAGCACACTTCGCCGGCGGGTCGCAAAAACGACTCGCCGGCGAGTCGCAAAAACGAGTCCCCTGCAGCCCGCAAGAACGATATACCAGCGAACTGCAAAACGACGCTCAAAGTTGCTAGGAAATTAAAAACAATTTTTTTAGTTTAAAATAGTTTAATTTAATTCATTGAATTTTTTTCAAAGTTTTTTAAATATGCATAAATACTTAAATATTAATAAAAAAGAAAAATAAGGTAAACATTCAGTCATAAAATACAAACAAAAATTTTAATATATTTTAATATAATATAAGTTTTAACAATTAATTTTTTTGTTACTTCTTTTTAGTCATCTTTAAAATTAATTAAAATTGGGCTTATTTTTTCACAAAATTCAAGTTCAAAATTAAAGCAATGTGTAGTATACATACAAACATATATATGTATATATAAAAAAATTTCAACAAGCTTTCATAAAAATTTAAAGCTTTTTAATCTGCATTTAAAAAACACATAGGAAGCAGTTTTATAGTCCATAAAATGTTGGTATAATAGAACACAGGTTTGAAGTAACACAAAACTCACATTGATTTTTGGTGTTATATTTTTTGCGGTACTGCGGATTTTCATTCATATGAGTTTTATGACAGAAAATGCATGCTTTGAGGCACTTCAACCGTGTATTCTATTATACATACCAAACTTCAATGGACTTTAAAACTGCTTCATATGTGTTTCTTTAATGCAGAATAAAAATCTTAAAATTTTTATAAAAGCTTGTTAATTTTTTTTTATATGTACATACATGCAATTTTGAATTTTGAACTATATGGACCTTGTTAAAAAATAAACCCAATTTTTATAAAGATAACTAAAATGAAGTAACAAAAAAATAAATTGTTAAAACTTATCAATATGACAGATAGTATATTTATGCAGACGACTGTGAAACATTTCTTTTATTCCGTTTTGAGATCCTGTCTCCAGCATAATGGAAATATCTTTTGGTTATTCGCTCTATTATTTCCACAGATTTGTTGAATTTTTGCTGGAACGCTTCTGAAATAATATTTAAAGTATATTAATCATTTTTGAGAGCTGGGCATCAACAATTAAAGCGTACTTCTAATTGTCGCTGTTGTGATGAGATGCCGCTAATTTTTTCCATTTTGAGTCCCTTCTGTCACCAGAAAAAGACTTGCGTGCCAAATCAACTTTTCTCTCAAAGTTTACACTGCTGGCGAATGTAAATAAGGATTACAATTTAAACACTAATTAATCCGACTAAAGTAAAATCTGTGGAAAATTAACAATAAAATACTTTTTTCGCAAAATCTATAAAGGACTCTTTTATTTCTCAAACAAACCTGGGTAACAGTTGTTCGTCGCCACGCTGTAAAGTAAAAGTACAGTTTTCTACCAAATTAAAAAAAAATTTTATTCCCACAAATTTTATTTTTTATTAATAAGGCCAATAGAGTGAACTTTACCTTTATAAAAAAACATTTTATATAAAAAATATTATGAATACTGAAAAAATTAATTAATTTTCTGAGCACAAGTGTACATTGTGGATTCCATATTCTGTTATGATAAAAAATTGTCATAATAAAAACGGTTTACTATCCAAATGAATGACTTTTATTTATGCTTAGATATATTAAAATTTGGGCGTGCAACTTGTCCAACCTAGACCGAAGGTTCCTCAAAAAACTTTTATGTTCAAAGAAACGGATTCGTTTCGAGTTCGCCAAAACGACTTCACCAGGGCGCGTCGTAACGGCTACACCAAAGCGACGTCGTAACGACGTCGGTTAGAGTTCACCCAAACGACTTCACCAGGGCGACGTCGTAACGGCTTCACCAAAGCGACGTCGCAACGACTTCGTTTAGAGTTCACCCAAACGACTTCACCAGAGCGACGTCGTAACGACGTCGTCTTCGCCCTGTGGCAAATTGGGTACAAACTTTCACATTTATAATATTAGTAAGATAAGATTGATGCGCCTAAAAGATGCAGCGATATCTATTCTCAAGTTACATACCTGATGACAGTACGAATGGCAATTATAATAGCGAGGTTTTAGTTTTTTAAACTATAATTTTATTCATGATAAAAGCATAGTAAGGTAAAACCGTTCTCTCAATGCGTCGGCCATGATTTTTTTTTTTGAAGTTTGCCAACATTTTAAAATCGTATAAAATTGAGAGTAAAAAAATTTTGAAACGAAAAATGAGTTGCTGCTTTAACGGCTGCGTTGTCTTCTGCAAGCAGAGCAATTTCAAGTTTTTTAAGTTCCCGCAATTACCGTACATATGTATATACGGCAAAAATGGATCGAGGTATGTACATATGTGGCGTTATAGAAGCTGATTTTCCAAAGTGCCCGTATGTGTGCTCGGCTCATTTTTTGCCATAACACTTGACCCAATGAAAGCATTAGTTAAACGTAACTACAGAAAGTTGCTTAGAAGTTCATTAAACACAATTGTTTACATTTGTATATTTATTTCCATACATACATATGTATGTATGTATGTATGTGCATTAATTTTGTTGTTTCGTCAAAATATATTTCTTTGGTTTCAGTGAAAATAAAAACAAACAAACGAAATGACGTCGGAAGACATTTTCAAAATGCTAGCAAACGTCAAAATTCCTAAAGTTGCCTCTCAGCGATTGTACCTTATAAATATTTTTATTATGGATGTGTATACTGCCAAACAATGAAAGGTAGGTATTTTTTTATTTAATCAGCAGTAATGTTTTCCCGCAGATCTACGAAGATTCCTTAAATAAATTTCTTTGATTAAACAGTTGTATAAGCAAATCACTACCTAAGCGATTAACTATTCTAACTATTTAGTTAGTAGTGTAACTTTTTACTAATTCAGCCAAGCACGATTGTTCCATCTTATCTCAGCGCTGTTATACAAACTATTCTAGCTTAGACGCGTCTATTTACTGTGTCTTAACTCCATAACTTAACAGCTTAACATCATAAGACAAACTAAGTAGGCATATCTGAGTTAGGATAGTTAGAAGAGCTAAGATGAAACAATCATACTTTCTGGAGTTAGTGATAAGTTACGGTGGTTCTTCGAGTTAAAATGGTTTATCGCTCGGCTTTTAAGATAGGACAAATTTATGACTATCGACCAGAGATAAAGTAGCTCGGGGCCATCGAAATAGTCCTAATGCGGCTGCTAACAAAAACTGAAGACGTTTCATGAGGTACATATGTGCGCATCAACATGTTTAAAACAGCAAATCTTAAAAAAGTACCAAAAGGACTAAACGGACACTGTGGCCGAAAGATATGATCAGAGGTGGGCACTACCACAAACAAGCGTTAGCTAAAAGCGTTCTCTATGCCTGGACTAGTGTTGGGAAATGAAATTTTTCCTTCAGTACGAAATCTATACAAAAACTGTAATTTGCGACTATAAATAGTATAGACTTTTTAATTTGCTCTTTTTTCAGTACATGCATATGTACATACATTTGCTTCATGACCAATGATTTGATGGCATTCATGAGAAAGTTTACTTGTTTACGTACATACATTTACATATTTTACACTTTTACAAATTGAGCCCAAGTACATATGTACTCCATTTAACATAAATATGCATGCACATATTGACAAAAATCATTTTTAAGTCATTATTAATGGATAAAAGAGACACCTTCTTTCGATTCCTTACTAAAACTTGACATTTTAATGGCACAACTTTACGACACCCACATATTGACAAGATTTGACCATTTTATTAATATTATTTAATATTGTCATTAAATATATTTGGGACCTGTAGGACCCTCCTCTTTGTGTGACAACATCAAGGCGCACGCCACAAATCGGAGGAGAAGCTAGGCTAAACACTAACATATGCGTAAGCGCCAATCTATTGTTATTACTATTAAATATATTTGTTTTTGTTATTTTTTTGGCCTTTATAACAATTATATTCAACAATTTTTATGAGCTTGAGGCCGGTTTAAGTGAAAAACTTAATGTGGAAAAGCAACAATAATTTGAAAAAATGGTAGAAGTGATAGCTATTTCGGAAATCATCGGTTCGAATCCTACTGAAAGAAGTCTGACGAGGAAATGTGTGATTTCCGAAATAGCTATCACTTCTACCATTTTTTCAAATTATTGTTGCTTTTCCACATTAAGTTTTTCACTTCAAACGGCCTCAAGCTCATAAAAATTGTTGAATATAATTAAATATATTTGTTAATAAAAACACAGTTTATACTTAAACAAAAACTGTATAAATCCCAGGTTCAATCTTTATGCAACAAAAAACAAAACATCAACAAATTTTCGCAAAAATTTCGAGCGTTTTAATTAGATTTTATAGAAATATGTATGTAGGTCAGAGTAACGAAATTAGTGAAAAATTCGGAAAATAAATTTTTGGTTAAATAGCATTGGTATTTACATACCTAAATCCATCTGTTTGCTGATATCTTCCATCGTATTCATTTGCAATAAAGGAAGTGTTCTGATATTCCTCATTCTTGTATTCGCCTGTGTCTGTATCCGTCCATCCATTTGGATTGCGAAACGGGTTCAGTTCGGTTGGTTTTTCAGCAATTTGTGCTACAGCAATGAGATAATTTAAAAGATTTAGGCTTAAGATGTCTATGAAAGAAAATTTATTTATTGGGTAATGATTAAATTCATAAATTTTTTGTATAATTACAATTACAAATTAATGCATATCGCCCCCTGAAATGCAAAAAGCCGTTACAAACATCGTCACTAAAATGGAAAAAGGCGTGACTAATAATTTTAGTTTTTGCTAATAATTTTAGTTTGTAATTCGGTGTCATATAAATTAAAGAGTGGATTTTGAATTTTTTGTTGGTTACAACTTTTTGCATTTCAGCGACGATGTTTGTTGCGTGTTTTTGCATTTCAGATGACGATATATACCAGGGTTGCAACGAATATTCGCATTCGCAACCGCGGATGTCTAAAATTCCACATTCGCCACATCCCTAATATGTACGTTGGGACTGCCTCGCAAAAAAATGTTTCCATTGTCCCAATTCGATTCAACACATGGTCATTCTCAAAAGCACTTCTAAAAATGTCATTTTTTACAACAAAAATTGTATTTGCGAAACTAGAACTACAACGTTACTTTAAGAGATCTACTAAACAGCTGATCGTAAAGACTTACGCCACTTGTATCAAATTTAACGCCGCTTTGTTAGGTGGCAGTTGCAAACAAATTTATTCTATTTTATATTACTGATGTTATAAAGTAACTAAAATATTTTATACTTATACCACGTTTCTAAATATATGTTTTTAAAATTCATTATAACATTGAACGATTTTTTCAACACGGCGGCAGCTCAGCGTTGAATTCTGAATACTATCGGCGCAACTATCTCTATTTATTGCAATTTCATTTGTTTACATTTATCAGCTGTTCATTTGGCAGCATATTCATCAAGCCGTTTCTGAGACGTAATTGTTGGGTCCAACAGTCGCCAGCAGTTTCGTAGCAGTTGAGCTAAACAGCTACGTCTTATAAACGCGCCCAATACTTCAAGTTTACACTTATCTTATCGAGGCATAAATATGAAACAGACAGTAGCATTAGAGCAAAAACAACATCTACGTGTATTTTTATGTTGCCTAAGTGTCGGCCGCTGTGGTGTAGTGGTAAGCAGTGTGCGTTTTTACTCATCAGCACCTGAGTTTAAGCCCTGGTTAAAGCAACATCACAAAAAAAAAAATTAGAAAAAAAAGGTTTTTTCTTAACAGCGGTCGTCTCTCGGCAGGCAATGGCAAACCTCCGAGTGTATTTCTGCCATGAAAACCAGCTTCTCATAAAAATACAATCGCCGTTCGGAGTCGGCGTAAAACTGTAGGTCCCTCCGCTTTGTGTGACAACATCAAGGCGCACGCCACAAATTGGAGGAGAAGCTCGGCCAAACACTAACTTATATGTAAGCGCCAATCTATATAAGTGTCAAAAACATATTGTAATTATTTTAATTAAAGTAGGCGTTGTAAAATAAAAAAACGGAAGTAAAAAGAAGAACATTGAAAATTAAAAACAAGTAAGATCAGCGCTGTCTTCGGCTATGCCGAAGGCTTCATACCTTTCAAGAACATCTGAAAATTTTACTTTAACAGATTACTGCGTTTGAAAGAATGTATATATTCACAGCATACATAGATAGACAATCATATCTAAACAATCAGAGGTATGAAAGATATAGTACCTTATATAGCACCAATTTAAGTGATTTTCACTGCTGTGTGATTGGCGTGTAAACCGGTAACACAATTTAATGGGTTTAGCTTCCTAACATAGAGGAGATATATCCCAAGAACTGGCATCAGAAACAATCAGTGGTATAAGAGATAAAGCTTATAAGGCACAGATTTGGACGATTTTCTCAGTAGACTTTGTATTATTATTTATAAAATAGCTTACGAAATTTATGGGTTTTAGCTGTCCAAATGAAGGAGTTATATGTAGGCAATAAATAGGTTATAGTGACCCGCTCTTTGTTAATTTTACTGTAGACTTTCTGTTGATAATGAGTGAAAATAAAGCGAAATTTCATGTTTCTAGCTGCATATATAGAGAAGTTATAGCAAAGAATCTCATATCTGAACAATCAGTTGTATGAAGGCTATAGGTTATAGCCACCCGATCCTCGCCATTTTCACTGTAACCATTTTTTTGATAATGGGTGGAAATATTGCGAAATTTCATGTTCCCAGCTGCATAGATGGAGGAACTATAACAAAAATCGCACATCTGAACAATTAGTTGTATGAGAGCTATATGTAAAAGTGACCCGATATTTGTTATTTTCATTGTAAGTATTTTGTTGATAATGGGTGGAAGTAATGCAAAATTTCATGTTCCTACCTGCATAAATGGAGGAGCTATAATGAAAATTATCATAACTGAACAATCAGTTGGATGGGAGATATATGTTGTAGTGACCCCATCTTTGTTATTTTCACTGTAAGTATTTTGTTAATAACGAGTGAAAACGGTGCGAATTTTCATGTTCCTATCTGCATAAATGGAGAAGTTACGGCAAAAAATCTCATATCTGAAAAATCAGTTGTATGAAGGCTATAGGTTATAGCGACCCGATCTTCGCCATTTTCACTGGACGTATTCTTTTGATAATGAGTGACAACAGTGCAAAATTTAATGTTCCTAGCTGCATAAATGGAGAAGTTATAACGAAAAATCTCATACCTGAACAATCAGTTGTATGGGAGCTAGAGGTTATAGTGTTCCGATTTTTCCGGTTCCGACAAATGATTAATACATTATAAAAATACACCCACCTACCAAATTTCATCCGGATATCTCGAAAACTGAAAGACTGGACTGCATACAAACAGACGGCTCGACGTTCTGATCATTTAAGTATACATCTATCTCTTCTTATTCTGGTACTTACATACATCGGGCCAAAGTTATAATACCATTTCATGCTCATGAAAGGTATAAAAAACTAACTTGCCCGGCGAACTTCGTCTCGCCCAAAATTTATTTTTTGTTGATACATTTTGGTACAACACTTTCACCATCTATTCACTTAACGACTTCCAGTGGCAAATTATCTGCCACGATTATGGTTTTTTGGTCGTCAGAAGGCATATCTTCCTCTGCCATTGTTAATAAACTAACCAAAGCGTTGTGTCTGTGGCGAAGTTCTTGCCATTTTCCAATGATCTGGCGTTTCATAGCATACGTTGCCAAGAAGACAACATTTTAATAACTTCTCTTCATTTGCACAGCATATTTTGTGGCAAGTTGAAAGTGGGTGAGTACTAATTAATATTAATTAATTAATTAATATTACTAATTTTTCTGCTCTCACCCCCTAGGATTCTTCTATACCGAAAAAATATACCCTTGTTTTTTATTTTGCAATCAAAAAATATTTAGAGGTCGCTCAAAGCGCTCAAAGTTTTCCATGTATTTTATATGGAAAAAAACTTTTCGTAGAAATGGTAAAGAATTCTTAAAAATCAATATTTTCAGGTCGGTAATAATACCCAATTGTTTATTTAACCAGTTTTTCATAGTAACTATAATTTAAAAGTCCTTCAGAAACACCCAAAAGGCCCCAAAACCCCCAAAAATTTCCAAAAGCCCCGAAAAATTCATTGGGATTCGTTAGAAATCTCCAGTATAAAACATCCAACAGCAAAATTCCGACGAAATGTTATCTGTTCTCTCATAAGAGAAACATATCCAAAATAGTACGCGAACAGAAAATTTGCAGAAACTTGTAAGTTAGACGAACAGTTGATAGAAATCAACAAATTGATAGAATTTTTGTTTACATTCAAAAGTGTAAAATTTAAAACATACGAAAACTCAACACAATGTGTTATCCTGACAGAGTTTATTGATTAAACGAATAACTACTTAGTTCTTACAAGTTTAATAAGTCGCATTTATCATTTTTAACTTCCAAACCATCAAATTTAATGTTTCGATTTGCGTAAATTCCAGGTGTTTTTGATCAGCTGTTTTCCTGTTGGCAAATCGCTGTTAGTAAAAATTTATCCAGCAGAAACTAACAGCTTCTTTTTAAAATGAAATGTTGAAAGTTTTTTGCGTACGCGAACGGAAAAAGCTGATAGTTTTTGATAACTTTTAATAACTAACCGTTACGCTAACGCAACCATTACCTGCTATCTATTACCTGCGATTCAGATTAGCGGTATCCACAAGCGATTCATCGGCGGAGAAAGTTATGTAATAGTTTCATTGGTTGTATAGGGAATAGTTTGCAGTAAACTAATTTTTTTCATGGTGAATTTTTCAATTCGTCTTCTCCCAAAAATGCGCAAGGTTCTTTCTCTGAGTCTTTTTATTATTATTACCTCCCTTTTCTTAGCCCGGGACGTAACTATGTAATATTGATGCGCCTAAAAGATGCAGCGATTTCTATTCTCAAGTTACATACCTGATGACAGTACGAATGGAAATTATAAAAGCGAGATTTTAGTTTTTTAAACTATAAGTTTTTTGTTATAACCACAAGGCTTTATATGTAAGTAAACTCAGAAAATTTGCACAAGCACTTTACGCATTTTTGAAATAAATATGTTTTAATATGAACTTCTTAATTTTTATCAGGCACGATCTTCCATTATTTTATCAAAAGTGTATTTCGAACCGCCGAATCCAAATCTGACATTCGTTTGAGTCGTACACCCTCAAATTTTCGGTCGAAATACATGTCGGTAGGTGGTCTGGTTATAAACACACACCACTTTTTTTGTATGCCAAAAACTTTTTTGTATAAAAGGGGAAATATACGACACCACCAGCTCCATCAAGTGGTTGTACCAGCAGGCTCGAAGCATATAACTTACCAGCATGCTGGTACAATATTAATTTCTTTACAAATGAGGTCGAGGAAAGATCGAAATAATTAGAGCCGAAATTTCATAATTTTTCTACCATTTTGTTAGACATTGTTTTTTTTTTTTCTTTTTAATTTACAACTGCAATATTGGGAACTTAATCTTCCACAAACACGGCTTTGACTCATATAGTGCAAGAAATTTCCGCCAGAATACTTTTTACT